GTTGCTCAAACAAGTCGATGTTCATGGTCAAATTAGATTTGACGAAGACGCCAACGCCTCCGATACCTCTGACATCGCATGTTCTAAGAAACAGTTCCTCTATGGTGTCATTAACAGCGTGAAAAGGATGGCGTCTTCTCGTCTCAGCCAGGCCAGTGACGTCGTGCCTTATCCTTCTTGCTTAAATCAGTAGATTCTCTACAGCGGATTCATGAGCAAGGGTTCTTGTATCATAAGTACAGATGGTCATTTTATCCGTTTTGATCTTGGCAGCCTAGTTTGAACCTGAGATTTTAGCAGCCTCTCCGCACTCGTCTTACCTAGCGCTGCCGTACCAGAGGCTCTTCCGGGGTCAGGGAATGAGGCCAATATTTGTTACCGTTTTCAGCGTTTTATACTCAACGCATAGTTTGCCAGACTCTAAACGTGGAGGCTGGGTACTCACGAGTAGCTTGCCAGTCTCTATCAAAGGCGCGGGAGGAGCTTATTTGTTGAAGGCATCTCCTAACCGCCTCCCATGTACTTCCCTGCTGCTTGATTGCAGGCTTTTGACCGACTTGGCTTGTGAAAATAGAGTTTTATCAGGTCGCCGCTGCAGAAGCAGAGAGCTCATCCCCTGAAACCACTTGCCTATGAGAATCACACGGTTGCTTCTGGTTCGCGTTTATTTCCCCATCCACCACCTGGGGACGCGCCACGTGCCCTCGCGACTAACCGGGCGGAATCTCTCAAAGAGGGAGGTCCGTGGTTATTCGGTATACCGAATAAATCTTCAGATCATCGACCTCATACTTGCTGAATAAGGAAATGAAGGAGATGTTCAATCAATGCCGAGGTTAACTGATAGTCGGTCATGGGAGTTGGTTCAAGGTCATCTAGCCGAATACGTTAAAAGTAGTATAAAGAAAAGAGTAGAAAATGTCTTATGAGTATGTGAAGATAGCAAAGAATCTAGAATATGTGATGTACCAACGTGACCAACTAATTTAACAACTAATTGACGAAATATCTCAAGGATCAGTTTTAATCAAAGCTTGGCATGAATTCACAATGCTTTCTCAGATTATTGCGGAGAAAATAGTTGAATTGGAAAAATTGATTGAGAGCTGTTCCACTACAATCAACCCGACTTGATGAGATAAAAACACCTATCAAGATATAATTATGTTTATATTTCCTGAAAATAACTGCATGCATATTATCGACTCAATTCAAATTGGTCACAAGAAAAGGCAAGAATTCTTCCGTGTTTCAACGAGTAAACAACATCGCTCCAAAGAGTAACATATTTCTAAGTGTCATATAACATTCGTTTCTCTTTCTTGATCTTTTTTGTAGTCTTTTGATCAAAAAATAGCGTTCGCTTTTGAATTTCAATGTCCGGTACTACAAAGTGGAAGTTTGATTTTGAGGAGAATTTTTCGTTACCAAAAAATGGAGCATAATTGTAAGGACTTTTCTTACAAATGTTTTTACTGAGAAAAGCGCCCAGTTTCTCTTAGAATTTTCAATGCCATTGCGCTTTCTTGGATTTTTTTTTCAAAAAGGAATCTTTTCACAAAGCTGTTAATAGCCATAAAAATAATTCTGTGCTTTGGCTGAATTGTTCAAATAGATCGCTCCACAAGTCTTTGCACTAGAGCAGTAGACGTCAAATATGTTACTAAGAAGTAACCAAACTTACATAATCTTGGTTTGGTCAATTTGTGCATTTTATGCGAGCATTTTGGTACACAATTTGCCTATACTTGCCTTGAGATGCAACTGCCGTGGAAACAAATTCGCTTGTCACTAAGGCACTAATGGTGTTTAGAAGAAAATGTTAGCGAGGCTGCGCGCAAAATAAACGGAGCCTCCTGTGTATGGTCCAAGAGCGGTTGACCTTCCAGCAGTTCTCTCCGGCTTTGAACTTTATGAGCCTTCCTAGCAGGTTGAGGACCACCGGACCCACAGGCGTGCCTGACCCTGCCCTCTGCCTGCCCTCACCAATCAAGTCTGTCCTTCGTGTTTTCACTATAATATGCTTGAATCTTTGACACACCAAATCACACCAAATTTTATACACTAGCACCGTAACACAAACGATCAATCTATATAATTTGTTCATCATCATTCTTTATCAACAACCTGCAATCTATAACAACAGTTTCCAACAATGTACAACCTATGACAACATATTATGTTTGCATGTTACATGGGAGGGCAAAAACAATATTGTATTTTGAATGTTACGACAATACAATCATTGCAATAGAAATACAATGAATACTTAAAAAATTCCTGTTTCGTGATTACAAACAGCAACTACGTAACATCTACAGAGATCTGCTGGATCATAACACTTTGAGCAGATATGCGTTTCACATTTAACACATCTAGTGTTTGCTTCTTTAGCATGATTTTGAGCATAAGGGCAGCCTTTTTCAGCCGATAACTTTTTATAGCACTCACATCGACGACAATTTTCGCGTGATAGCTTTTCAAGAGCGCCGCTAGTCGTCGTTAGAGGAGAACCGTCACCTACATAACTGACATAAACCGCCTCCTTTAAAACTCATTAAAGGTGCCTGATAATCATTTTTTGAGCCACGTATGCCAGTGGTCCATCAAAGAGGGCCGACTTATAGAGCCCGATACACGTGTATCAATCTTACGATCTCGTCAGTCGAGCAGTTATCGTTTCACGTCGTTTGCCAATCCTGTGTGGGGTGCTCCAGTCCCTACACTAAGAGTCAGCGACGACGAACGTTTTACACTGTATGTCCAGTGAAATTCTCACCGAACACAGAGTGTTGTACACTCGATTGCTCTTGGCTAGTATTTCAACATATCACATCTTTCGTTTCGAGTGTTTTTTCAGGACCGCAGCTCAAATTTCAATAATAAACTTCAATTTCACTGGACATAGAATGCAAAACGCTCGTCGTCGCTAACTCTTAGTGTAGGGACTGGAGTACCCACACAGGATTGGCAAAAGACCAGAATGGGTATTGCCCGACTGACGAGATCGTCAGATCAAAACACGTGTATCGGGCTCTATAAGTCAGCCCTCTTTGATAGACCACTGACATGATTGGCTCAAAAAATGATTATCAGGCATATTGAAATTTTAGCTGTGGTCTTAAGAAAACACTCGAAACGAAAGTTATGATATCATTAAAGCTGATTTGTTTTTTGATGGCGCAGTACGCTCAATGAGCATTCAGCAGCTTTATGCTGTGAACTAAATGAAAGAGGATACGCACGTACCTAAAGAGGGGAATTGCAGATTATGAAGCCAGGAAGTAGCAAAATGCACTTACCATTTTTAGCTCTTCTATGGAATGGAGAGTACGCAGCCATCTGGTCCGTGAGGCTCACAAATCCTTTATTTTTGTTGTAGTTTTCAACAACTTTGAACTTACTCGTGCCCGAATTTACGTCACAGCAGCACGCTGTCGAAAGCATCTGCACATCTCTTGTCAAACCATCTAAGTACCATCATGCCATTCAATAAATAGATATTTCATATGCATTCATGTAATTGTATTGCAGTGATTGTCTTATGGCATTATTTGGAATACAATATTGTTTTTGCCTCTCTATGTTATATGTGAATGTAATAAGTTGCAGATTGTTGAAAAATATTGTTATAAATTGCAGATTGTTGGCAATGAATGGTGATGAACAAATTATATAGATTGATCGCTTGTGTTACGGCTTTACTATATGGAATGTGGTGTGATTTGGTGTGCCAAATATTCAAGCATAATATAGTGAAAACAAAAAGGACAGGAGTAATTGGTGAGGGCGGGCAAGGGGCGAGGTTGAACACGCCTGTGGCTCCTGCGGTTCTCAACTGGCTAACCATCCTTTCTGCAGCCGTGCCACCGCCCATGCTCCATTAATCTTTCGCGCCGCTTCAGTGGCGTTTTCCCTACGTGGTATTCGTGCATGAGTAGCAAGCGAATTCGCTCCCTGAACAGCTCCATCTTGAAGCAATTATAGGCAAGTTGTAGACCAAAATGCTTTTTAGAAAATGAGCAATTGTACGACACTAGAATTATGCAATTTCAGCTACTTCTTGTTAATAAGTTTGGTGTTTTTTGCTCTAGTGCCAAAACTTATGGAACGACCTAATAAGTTTGCAGTGTATCTTCGGTAATACATAACAAAATGTTAGCTCTAAGCAAACATTGTGCTACTAAAGAATACAACATCACTGGACGATCTCTTATAGACGCATCCACTGAAAAAAATAACGCGCACTTGTCTCAAAAAGATTCACTTTCTGTAGCGAGTTATGTGGAATGCAGTCGTCATCTGTGGAATGTGCTCGTGTTTTCTTGCCTTTCTAAACCAACTGAAGCGAAGAAAAAGTCTCACAGTGACTGCTTCAATCGTTATCTCAAGTTTCTATCAAAGCACAGAAAAAACTCCCAATCGAATAACAAGTTGCATCCCACATTTTTAACGCGTTAAGGCACTGATCGACCACCCCGTTTCTCTGCCCGTAGATTAGCAGATACACAAGTCTCGAGTATATGAAAACTCGATCTTGCCCATAACCTGCTACACTGCACTGAAACGGTCTTCAGAAAAAAATGAGCTGCATTGGAATCAATGAAAGTTACGCTATAGAAGATTACTAATAGTCTATAGAGATTGCTTATGCGGCGAGCTGTAAAACACAAATGCTTTCTTCCTTATACAGCGATATCAAAAAAGCTTTTCCAAGAAGTAGGCACATTTTTGAGTTCTTTGAGATTTGTGCTATAGCAAGAGTATTAATACTCTGAGGGAGAAGTTTAGTCCAAATATAAGCGAGATAAGAAATAAAAGCGCGTGGTTGTGTAAAGCATAATTTTATATTAAATTTTACATCGTCAGAAAAAGGTATTTTGGAAAACCAACCACGTAACACGTTAACCAACGATTCAAGCTTTCGAATTATCATCAACACTCCCAATGACAGGGACAGATAACGCGTTGTAGCGTAGAAAGAGTGGAGTGCAAAACGAGCGTTAGTGGTGTAACGATTTAGCTTATGCTCCCGGAAAGAGTGAGATCTGGGTTTGAATCCCGGCTGACGCAAATGTTTTTGCACGCCACTTTCCATTATTGGTTTATTGTAAGATCACAGCACAGCAATACGCGGTCAAATAAATGACTTCTCAGCAGCACTCCTATGAAAATTTTTGTTCAGCGAATGAGGTCTACTATTCATTTGCTCTCAGATAACAAAAAAGAAGCAATACTAATAAAGGAATCTCCATGAACACATTCTTAGTAACGCCCGTGTATACTAAAAACTTGTGCTTTTTATTACGAATCCGCGTAAAATGCATTTACATATATGGAATGTGTTCGTGTTTCTTAGGCTTTTTCCGAAAAGGAGCTTTTTCGCTGGGCTATAGCAATCACTTGATGTTTGAGAGATAGAGATTTTATGACTTGACTTCCTCTTTGGGAAAGTCTGTATAACACACTTTATTGACGAAAAGAAGACAATGCTTTGCTCTGTGAACTCTTATTTAAACTTCACAAGGGATTTTCTGCTAATACATAATAAAATTTTGATTTTATGCAAACGTTATCGCTACATAAAATAGATTAGTACAGGTGAGACTGCTGTAAACGTTCAAAAAGAGCTATCCAGCTGTTATGTAGGCAGATAACTGTTCAGGTCTTTCGTTGTCCTTCTCCAGGATAGCACTCGACCCGACACATGGTAAAATCGACTACGTTAAATCATTATCAGATTATTATTGTTTGAGCAAGGTCTGCAGATAAATGGTTGAGTGAAGAGCTTCTTTGTAACGGTGCAGCAGAAAGAAACATTTTTGTTTTACACGCGCCTATTTCTCGCAGTATAGAACTCTTTCCTCAGGTTATATGCAACTATTCGAGTGAAATTCTGACGATTCCAACGCGGTTCCTTTATCCTGGAAAGGCATTATCACTGCAGTGTGGCAGGAACAATAAGACGAGTTCTACATACACGACGCATTTGCACCTCGGCATAGTGTGTGCTGGGAATGTGGTGGGTGTGTGGTGAGAGTGCACTGGGTGTGTGCTGGCCGTCGATTCGACACGACTATCAAAAAGATCTTGTGGAGTGACTCACATGTGGCGCGCAGTTATTGTTGACTAAAGTGATATTCGCTTCTCTACTTTGATGGAAAACCCCAGACAGAGTGTATGACTCTGATACTATAACAATTCCTTCACCTTCCTGCGCGGCCGGTGTAAATCATGATTTTATTTTGAATGCTACCTAAAGTGTTTTTCTAAAGAAGGAGCACGTAGCACAGTGGCCTGAGATTCAAGTCTTTGAATGGATTTCAGGACTGTTATGAAAACTTCTTGTCCAGCAAAATGGGTAGTCTATTCATTTTTCCCAAATAACAGGGAAGAGCCAATTCATGCTTGCAAATAATCGTTATGTTGGAAAAAAGGTGGTCTGGTGCCAATGTTGTGAAATTCAGTCTGAATAATCTAGTAAAGAATGCGCACCGAGTGTAAAACCCACTTTTCTTTTGGCTACAACACCTCACCAAGAAGATTTCCTGAAAATTAAGTACGGTGCTCATTCGTCGAGATTCAGTCTGTCGAATGATTAGTGAAAACTAGGAGGAAACCCCGGGCCAGCGAAAAATGCACAAGTGTGAAACTTGATACTATCTTCACTGCTTCAGCGCAATAGAAAGTTCTTTCAAAATTCATATATACCACTAGAATTCTCTAGGTTTATGCTATTGGACTATTAAACCATAAAAAACAAACATTCATTTTTACGGGAAGAAATGTGATGAGGAGAACTGAAAGCTACCGAATTTCTCTTCATTTGGTTCAGAAACACCCCTTGCTCAAGAAGAACTCTTATACTTAGTCATCAAGCAATAAATGTGAGACCTTGAAACAAAAAATAATTGGTGGTAGGAAAAAGCTGATTATTACGTGATACAACTTTTATGTGTCAAATTTTACTGCTTTAGTTATGAGTGTTTGCTTGAGTGAATTGCATGTCAATCTGACCATCACAAGGTCTAAAGGAAACAAAGGGTTCAGATCTTCTTCAGTCGTTGTTTCGAATGAAGTATCCTGGCAGCGTCGTGTCCGCTCATCACGAAAATGGTTTTTTATCTCATCAATATCGAGATGATAGATAGCTGGTTGTGCCGCTCCCACAAAATCGTTGGAAAAACGTTTGATTATAGTTGTAGTACAAGCACTCTCAGAAAGAACTAAGAATATATCCATTGATGAAAAGTGGCGTGCGAAACCTTCGCGTCAGGCGGGACTAGAACCCGCACCTCACTCTTTCCGAGAGCGCGTGCTCTATTCGTTACACTACTGACGCCAACTTTGCACACTACTCTTTCTACGCTACAGCGCATCTATCTGTCAGCCGCCAGCCGTCAACGGCCTGGTCCGGGTAGTTGGTTTCGACATCGAACCCAATCACGCTGACAGGTATTGGGTGTCAAAGATCAAACAAAATTCTTTTTCATTTGACCGCTTTTAATAGTGGTATGATGTTTCAAATATTAATCTTTGATACCCAATATCTGTCATCGTGTCTGAGTTCAATGTCGAAACCGACTACCCAGGCCAGGCCGTTGACGGCTGGCGGCTGACAGATAGATGGGTTGTAGAGTAGAAAGGGTGGCATGCAAAGTGGGCGTCAGTAGTGTATCGGATAGAGCACACGCTTCCGGAAAGAGTGAGGTGTAGGTTCCAGTCTCGCCTGACGCGAAAGTTTTGCCACACCACTCTACATCTGTAGGTATATTTGAAACATCCTACCATCGCTAAATGCGGTTAAATAAAAAAGAATTTCACTAGAGCTAAGAATGTTCTCAAAAGTTCTGGCTAAGGGAAACGAGTGTGCATTTCCAACTAACCATTTGTATATTATTTCTACCACACTGCACATGCCTGTTTCAAGGCATAGTTCGAAATTTGTATCAACCCTTTCTGTGAAATTAGATTCTCATTGGATATTTGTCTTATAGTCAGAAATAGATTTATAGCCACCAACAATTTCTTGAAAAGATTTTCGACCACTATTTGTGTTGTTATTCTGCCATAGTTTTCTAGCACAAATTTTGTTTTCACTTCTAAAATTGAACAAAGCAGTGGATAGTTTAATACGATTAGTAACATGAAGTCGCGAGGTTTTTAAGTCAAAAACCTCAGAGTTATAGAATTGCACTTTAAGATAGCCATCCAGCACAATTATTTTGATTTGCATACTGCCATTTCCGCTCTCTCAAAGGAAAACGAAGTTGATTTTACTTTGGTTGTGTGAAGCCTGTACGCCAGAGCTAAGGCACTGTTACAGTTCTGCAAGAAGCGCTAGCCTCAGTTGGTCTAATAAAGTAATTGGTAGAATCAGATTAGAGATTTTTCGCCAAACGAGTGCGACTTTACTTTTTTTCGAACGTTATCCGCATACCTTGTTAACTTTAGAGCAACGCTAAATTCAAATGATCTATAGTGATACATTATCATGAAGCTCTCAGCAAGCAGCATGTTCTTGTGAACTCTCCCAACACTCCTGTAATCACCTTGGAACGCCTTATCTTGACTATCTATGACACTGCGAGAAGACTTGATCTAACCGCTATCCTACAACGTTCCTAATAGATACGGAATCTTCAAGCAACAGTCGAGACAGCACAATTGTTCGAAGACGTTTTGGGAGGTGAAGGAAAACGAAACAAATGTTGAAAGCACTGAGATCCGCAAAGTAAAATCTGATGACACATCTTACAACGAAAATAAATAAAATATAAGCACAGAAGGAAAAAAAACGAGAGCTTTTTTTGACATGTATTCGGATGTGAGCAAACGACCAATAAAATCAATCGTTTCGCAGTGGTCACGAGAATATGAGATGAGTAACGTTACGCAGTAACAACTTTACACGGCGAGAAGCATATAACAAAAGTAAGCAGAAAGTAATTCGCTCATCGTTACCAGTTGAAGAACACATTAGAAGATCATGGACTGAATGCAGCAACGGTCTCCAATTGATACGCTAAGACCTCGCGACTCCTATGAAAAGCTGGAACTTATTACAGCATATTGAGGCATAAAGCAGAACGTATGTGAAGAATGAAAACAGCAAAGGTACAGCCACCATACAAGTGAAGTTATTCACTGAAAATCCAACGACATTTTTGTTTAGTGATAATAGGACGAGCATAAGTGGGTGAAATGTTTGGACTGATACAGAACCGAATGAAGATGATCAGCGCAGCAAGTATGAGGCCTTTCACATGCTGGCAATTCATGAATGGCCACAAGCGACGGCTGTACAGTGAGCTGCCACGCGCTGCAGCTTGACAAATTGAATTAAGCTTTTTTCTGCTTCAACGTTGAGTGAATTGTGTTGTGAGTAGTTAGTAGTTGTTATATTGTTAAAACTGACGATGGAATGGAGAATTATTCAGTGAGTCTCGCTGTAGTACAGGCAGATTCATCGTTTTTGCAGGTGTGCACTTAGTATGATGATAACGATCTTAAAAAATTGTTAAAACGGTTTTACTGATGAGCGAAGCGATATTGCTTCACATTAATAAACAAGTTTGATTGAAACTCAGGAATCATTGAAGCATATGAAAATCTTTGTTCATAATGAGATGTTACTCAATGGCATGAACTGGGAGCTGTGAAGCAACAAAAGTTCATTAATCCCCATTGTATGTAATTCAACATTGAAGCAAGCATAAATAATCTAAAATCTCACACAACACATCAAAAAACACGTACGCAGTAGAGACAGAAAAGGACAAGTTTTTCATGTAGAAACGACATGAGGAGCATGCCAGTTTTTAAAATAATGCATGATACACCTAAGACATTTGAATGGTGAGTAAAAATCCGACTTCAAGCGGGAACTGAGCCCGCGTTTCACCCATATCAGGGGTTTGTGCTGTCACTGCACTAACGACGCGCCGTTTTGCCACCTCTCAATCTCCAATGCCTATATTATAGCTATCAGCTACCAACCTTTAACAGGTTTGGCTGGGCTAGCATTATCGTTTTATAAGCCACTGAAGCTGACAGCCACTGCTACAAGTGGT